ATTTCTCATTCCCCGTTTCAATCCCCTTTCCCTTCCATCTCTTTCCCATCCTCCCTTTCTTTCCCCCTCCCTTTCCCATTACCTATCCCCCTCCCCTTCCCTCTTCCAGCCCCTTCTCTTTCTCCCTCCTCCCTTTCTCATTCCCCTCCCTCCCTTCCCTCTCTCCAGCCCCCTCTCTTTCTCACTCCTCCTTTCTCATTCCCCACCCCTCCTCTCTTCTACCCCCTCCCTTTCCTTCCCCGCCCCCCTGCTCCGCGCACTTACAGGTGTCATGAACTAATTGTGACAAAGGGTGCTGAGGGGGAGTGGGGGTGGGGGATGGATGCTGCAGTTGATGGAGTTGCTGAGGTACTCCGTGGGGTCACAAGGTCAGGGAGAACTGGCGGCGAGACGGGGGAGAGGTAATCGCCGCGATGCTTGGTTGACCTTGGCCCACTCTGACCCCGGTGCAGCTCTCCCACGACAGGATAATGCCCGGGGGTTGGCGAGAGGTCACGGGGGAGGGATGCTCGGGATTCGGGAGAGGGCGGGATCGGGAGCGTCGGGTCAGGAGGGCGTGGTGAGGCGGCGAGGAGAGAGGGGAAAGCTGGGGGCGTATGGGGAGGGGGAGCGGGAGGGAGGTCGTAGCGGAGGTGAAGCTAGAGGGAGAAGTCGAAATGGAGGTGGAGAAAGTGGTGGTGGTGGTGACGGAGAAAAATGAGGAGGTTGTAGTGATGGGGAAAAGGAGGGTGTGGTAGTGGAGGAAGAGATGGAAGTGGTAGTGGAGAAAAGGGAGAAAGAGAAAAAAAATAGGAGGAGGGAATGGGCGTGAAGGTAAAGGAAGTTTATGTAGAAGTTGAGCGAGAATAAAAAAGAAATGCAAAACAGACGATGCAAAATACGAAGAAAGGGGGGAATTGGGGGACAGAGGTTGTTTTTGAGTAAATGACGCGAGAAGATATCGCACAAAGGAAGCCTCCCTCTGATCTGAAAATTGTTTTCCAGGGAACGTTATCCAGAGCCCTTGAAATATCTCGCAGGATTTTATTCAGCTCTTTGTCTATTCTCCATTGTTTCTGTTCGCTCAGTCTGTCATTAGAGAGCTAGATTTGTATTTTTCATTGTTTTATGTTTGTTCAGTATATAACGATCGAACAATATTTTTGTTTTTTGTTAATGGCGTGATATTTACTCAGTCTGTAATTATCGAAAGAGATCCATATGTATTGTTCATATATTCTTATTTATTCATTAACGAATTCCTTGTTGATATGCAGATGAGGAGAGTTCAGCCACGAAGGGTTCTGGAACCGTCGCTCAGCTGAGCTTGTGTTTGACACGCCTTTCGTCTTAACATGTAAATTGTTGGTGAGGTGCCTTATTGCATGTTCAGTTAAAATTAGTTTGCATTAAATTAAATGTTATCAGACAGGTATGACTTGGTACGTAATCTTACATAGATTGATAAAGAGACGGATGAGATGAGGATAAAGACTTTATATGTATATGTAGAGTTTCGCTTCGCTATAATTACAACGACTGAACACAACACCAAGTAAAGAAGATCCACCTACACCAAAACCCACCCAGAGACGCCTTGCATGCCAAAATACTACACCTGTATTTGATGAGTCGTAGAGTGAACACATACGGCAACCGTCGACCTGGCTGTACGTTGGTGCACCGACTACGACACGTTACAACACTTGAAAACTGCCCTACACGCCAGGGAGGTCGTCTTTTCCTTAGGTCCAAGGGGCTCGGCGGCGACGGGTACAAGAACTGTCCAAGGCGTAACTCCTCATGGATCCTCATTCTCTCATTTTCTCTGTTTCCTGTGAGACGCTGTATAACTAGAAAATAAGGACTAGAATAAAGACTACAAAGACAACAGCGTCTGATGAAAACCAATAGGATTAAGTTGGTAAAGGAAGATAATAACATGAATAAGACAGACATAGAAGGGGGATCCGAGAGAGAGTTAGTGAGTGAGTGTGTGTGTGTGATTGATATCTGGTGCGAAGTGGCGCATGAATCATTGCTCTAAAGTTCAGTTATTATAGAAGTGAAAAATGGGCTCGAGCTTTGTTATTATTTCACTCAAAGGCCTTTGATAACATGTTTAACATTAACCAGATTGATAAGCGTTGCGGCAAAGGAAGGAAAAATAATAAACTCTGCCTTTTTGAAATATCACACACACATACGCACACACATTAATGTGAAATCATTCCCGTTGTATCGCTTTTCATCGTTCTTTGTCGGTTTGGGGGAAATTATATTGTTGGTTTCTCAAAGGAAGGCATCATTATTTTCATTATTTTCTTCACTGGATCAATATTTTCGTGAAAAGTTCAATCTGAGGGTAATCTGATTCCCTCATGGCGTTGGGTGTCCAGGAGTCAGTGAACCGTGAATAACTGAAGAATCACATTGGTTTTTCTGTCTTCACTAAATAATTCAGATGTTAAAGTATCGATGTTATTACCCGTGGCTCAGTTCTTTACATGTTCTCCTCCACCTTCTCTTTCGCCATCATATTGCTCCCTTTTTTCCTCCCCACCATGTCTCCTCCTCCCTCTCTTGTGCCTATTTTTTTTCTTCCTCTATCTCTTCCTTCTCCCCTCCTCTTACGGCCTTTTCTTTCATCTCTCACCCCTTTTTAATCCCTATTTCCTTTCCTCTCCTCACGCCCTTTTCCCTTGTCTCTCCTCCCTCTCTCCTCGTCCTCATTTCTCCTTCTCTCCATTCAATTTCCTTGTCCTCCTCCTTCCCCCTTTCCCCTTCCCCCGCCCCTTTCCTCCCCTTTCCATTCTCCCCTCCCCACCCCTTCTCCCTTCCCCTCGCGCCCCTTTCCTCCCCTTCCCCTCGCCCCTTCCTCGCCTTCCCTCACGCCCCTTTCCTCGCCTTCCCTTCTGCCCTTCCCCTTACGCCCTTTTCCTCCCCCCCCTTTCTCTCCCCCGGTGGTCACGTTGGAAGGTAACTCCAGAGGAAATGACCAACATCCGGGAGGAGCGGAGGGGCGGCAGGGTGGTAGGCAGCAGGTAGCAGATAACAGGCAGTAGGGAGCGGGGAGCAGAGAGCAGGCAGTAGTTAGCAAGGGCTGCAGAAAGTAGCAGGGAACAGACAGTAAGAAGTAGACGGTAGGCAGTAGGTAGCAGAAACCTGGGAGCAGGCAATAGTTGGCAGGTAGCAGGGAGTAGGTAATAAGTAGCATGGACCAGGCAGTAGAAAGCAGACAGTAGGCAGTAGGTAGCAAGGGGCAGGTAGTAGGTATCAGGCAGAAGGTAGCAGGGAACATGTTGAAACAATACGTAGCAGGTAGTAGGGAACAGACAGTAGGTAGCAGAGAGCAGACAGAAGGTAGCAGGGAGCAGACAGAAGGTAGCAGGTAGAAGGCAGTAGATAGCAGGAAGCTGACAGAAGGTAGCAGGAAGCAGGCAAAAAGTATCAGGGAACAGATAGTAGAAAGCAGACAGCTGGCAATAAGTAGCAGGGAACAGGCATTTCGTAGCAGGGAGCAAGCAGTTCGTAGCAGGTAGTAGGTAACAGGGAGCAGACAGTACGTAGCCGGGAGCAGGCAGTAGGTAGGGAGCAGATAGCAGACAGTAAGTATCAGGGAGCAGGCAGTAAGTAGCAGGGAACGGGGAGTTGGTAACAGGGAGCAGATAGCAGACAGTAGGTAACAGGGAGCAGGTAGTTGGTATCAGGGAGCAGACAGTAAGTAGCAGGAAGCATACAGTAGGTATCAGGGAGCAGACAGTAGGTAGCAGAGAGCATACAGTAAGTAGCAGGGAGCAGGCAGTAGGTAGCAGGGAGCAGACAGTTGGTAGCAGGGAGCAGCCGCAGGGAGGGAGCAGACAATAAGTAGCAGGGAGCAGACAGTAGGTAGTGGGAGTAGTAGCAGGGACAGTAGTACGTAGAGGGAGCAGGTAGAGCAGGAGCAGACAGTAAATAGCAGAGAGCAAGCAGTAAGTAGCAGGCAGTAGGTAGCAAGGAGCAGGCAGTAAGTAGCAGGGATCGGAGCAGGTAGTAGGTAGCAGGGAGCGGACATTAAGTAGCAGGGAGCAGGCAGTAGGTAGCAGGGAGCAGGTAGTAGGTAGCAGGGAGTTAGTAGCAGGGGGCAGGTAGTACGTAGGAGGGAGCAGGTAGTAAGTAGCAGGGAGCAGACAGTAAATAGCAGGGAGCAGGCAGTAGGTATCAGAGAGCAGGCAGTAAGTAACAGGGAGCAGGCAGTAGGTAGCAAGGAGCAGGCAGTAAGTATCAGGGAGCAGGTAGTAGGTAGCAGGGAGCAGACAATAAGTAGCAGGGAACAGGCAGTAGGTAGCAGGGAGCAGGTAGTAGGTAGCAGGGAGTTAGTAGCAGGGGGCAGGTAGTACGTAGGAGGGAGCAGGCAGTAGGAATCAGGGAGCAGGCAGTAAATAGCAGGGAGCGGGCAGCAGGTAGCAAAGAGCGGACAGTAAGTAGCAGGGAGCAGGCAGTAAGTAGTAGGGAGCAGCAGTAGGAGGGAGCATGCAGTAAGCAGGGAGGAGGTAGTAAGTAGCAGGGAGCAGACAGTAATAGCAGGGAGCAGGCAGTAGGTAGCAGAGAGCAGTAAGTAGGCAGTAGGTAGCAAGGAGCAGACAGTAGGTAGCAAGTAGCAGGCAGTAAGTATCAGGGAGCAGGTAGTAGGTAGCAGGGAGCAGACAATAAGTAGCAGGGAGCAGGCAGTAGGTAGCAGGGAGCAGGTAGTAGGTAGCAGGGAGTTAGTAGCAGGGGGCAGGTAGTACGTAGGAGGGAACAGGCAGTAGGAAGCAGTAGGTAGCAGGGAGCGGGCAGCAGGTAGCAGAGAGCGGACAGTAAGTAGCAGGGAGCAGGCAGTAGGTAGCAGAGAGCAGGCAGTAAGTAGCAGGGAGCAGGCAGTAGGAATCAGGGAGCAGACAGTAGGTATCAGGGAGCAGGCAGTAAGTAGCAGGGAGCAGGGAGGAGGTAGTAAGTAGCAGGGAGCAGACAGTAGGTACAACAGTTGGTGAGTAGACAGTTTAGCAGGGAGCAGGCAGTAGCAGCATAGGTAGCAGGGAAGCAGGCAGTAAGTAGCAGGGAGCAGGCAGTAGGTAGGGCAGGGAGCAGGCAGTAGTAGCAGGGAGCAGGCAGTAGGTAGCAGGGAGCAGGCAGTAAGTAGCAGGGGGCAGGCAGTAGGTAGCAGGGAGCAGGCAGTAAGTAGCAGGGAGCAGGCAGTAGGTAGCAGGGAAGTAAGTAGCAGGGAGCAGGCAGTAGCAGGGAGCAGGCAGTAGTAGCAGGGAGCAGGCAGTAAGTAGCAGACAGGCAGTAGGTAGCAGGAGCAGGCAGAGGTAGCAGGGACAGGCAGGGAGCAGGCAGTAGGTAGCAGGAGCAGGCAGTAAGTAGCAGGGAGGCAGGCAGTAAGGTAGCAGGAGCAGGCAGTAGGTAGCAGGGAGCAGGCAGTAGGGCAGCAGGCAGGTAGTAGCAGGGGGCAGGCAGTAGGTAGCAGGGAGCAGGCAGTAGGTAGGAGGGAGCAGGCAGTAAGTAGCAGGGGGCAGGCAGTAGGTAGCAGGGAGCAGGCAGTAAGTAGCAGGGAGCAGGCAGTAGGTAGCAGGGAGCAGGCAGTAAGTAGCAGGGAGCAGGCAGTAGGTAGCAGGGAGCAGGCAGTAAGGCAGGAGCAGGCAAGTAGGTAGCAGGGAGCAGGCAGTAAGTAGCAGGGAGCAGGGCAGGTAGCAGGGAGCAGGCAGTAGGTAGCAGGGAGCAGGCAGTAAGTAGGCAGGGGGCAGGCAGTAGTAGCAGCAGTAGGTAGCAGGGAGCAGGCAGGTAGGCAGTAGTAGCAGGGAGCAGGCAGTATGTAGCAGGGGGCAGGCAGTTAGCAGGCGCAGCAGGCAGTAAGTAGCAGGTAGCAGGAGCAGGCAGTAGGTAGCAGGGAGCAGGCAGTAGGTAGCAGGGAGCAGGCAGTAGGTAGCAGGGAGCAGGCAGTAAGTAGCAGGGGGCAGGCAGTAGGTAGCAGGGAGCAGGCAGTATGTAGCAGGGGGCAGGCAGTAGGTAGCAGGGAGCAGGCAGTAAGTAGCAGGGGGCAGGCAGTAGGTAGCAGGAGCAGCAGGGGCAGGCAGTAGGTAGCAGGCAGGCAGTAGGTAGCAGGGAGCAGCAGTAAGTAGGAGGGAGCAGGCAGTAGGTTTAGGCAGTAAGGTAGCAGCAGGCAGGTAGCAGGGGGCCATGCAGTAGGTAGCAGGAGCAGGCAGTAAGTAGCAGGCAGTAGGTAGCAGGCAGTAGTAGCAGGGGGCAGGCAGGGGCAGGGGCAGCAGTAGGTAGCAGGTCTTGGGTGCGGAGGCGGTCACCAGCTACGTTCCGCGCGCCCCTTGTCCTCGCTTCGGTCACGCTGGTCTTTGTTTTCGAGTCATATTTTTTTCCTTTTTAATGCATTTCTCTGGGAAATTGTTTTTACTCTTGGAGTTTATACCGCTTGGAATTATGTGGTATTGAGGTTCATTGGCTTCGTAGAATTGAAACTGCGCGGGGTGCTTCAGTCTGTTACAGCGAGTGGGTCATTGTCCGCAAAGTGTGTATTAAAATATGTATATATATACCACGTGGTAGATAAACATAACGGGGAGGTGTGTAAATAAAATGTCAGGGGTTGATATTGGAATTATTCATATTCTGTTACAATCCACGGTTCTCGTTATATTACGTGGGCATTATTATTATACACGTGCGCGTACACGCACACACACACACACACTCCCTCTCTCTCACACACACACAGTAATTCTCACTTTTTCACTCACTTTATATCATACTTCCATGCTTTCCTTCAGTTTCTCATTGTCTCTCACTCACCCTACCTCCCCTCTCTCTCTCTCTCTCTCTCTCTCTCTCTCTCTCTCTCTCTCTCTCTCTCTCTCTCTCTCTCTCTCTCTCTCTCTCTCTCTCTCTCTCTCTCTCTCTCACTCCTAAGCTAGGGTCACACTAGTCTTCTCTGTCACGGGATCCCAAGATCGCAAAAGTCAGGTCAGCTGACCAATCAAAAGCTGTAGCTGGCCAGACCGGCGAGGCTGTCTCGGGATCCCAGGACAGAGAAAACTAGCGTGACCCTAGCTTTACTATTTTTCCGTTCTATTCAAATCCAGAACGCAACTTTTGCAATGCTTTTAGCCGTAAACGCGGGACGGACTCTACCCATCCGCACGACCACCACAAACCAGAATAACCCGGATGATGTGTCTGTAATCTGCTGCTGGATATAACTTGGGTTTGTGTTAGAATAAACATGTAACTTCAGGTGGAGCTGGGTTATAATTATCCCGCGTTGTTTAGAATATTTTACCTGAACAACGCGGACACAACAATAGCATAGTGAGGTTTGATGATCAGTTCTTTGTGAGGGATGGTGGTTGCCAGATGGCGAGTCTCGTTTCTTCTGAAAATATTGTAATAATGTAACGAATTTGATGATTTATTGGAAGTATTGCTATTTGGTTATTGCTTTCCTTGATAACAAATAAGGGTGATTATTATCACAGACAAAGTACTGTAGTC